CTCCAATCGGGCATCTTTCCTCCTCCTCCGAAGCTGCAGGACGTGGTTACCGTTGCCTCATATAACCTACGTGGCCAGCGCCCACTCCTCAGGCACTTCCAGACCCTGATTTCTAAAGGAGCCTTTTATTGGTCTCCATAGATGCTACCTTTATCTTGTATATTTGATTACATGTTGTCCCCCCATTACATGTTAGCTCCTTGAAGGCTGGGGCAGTTCTATTTTTTTTGTATCCCTGGCATGTAGTAATTGCTCAATAAATGCTTTTTGACTGTCATTTTCCCCCCAAAGCCTTCATGCTCTTCTTTCTTCTGTTTCTCCTTATAGGACCACTGTTATTCCAATCTTGAAAGCTCCAAATTAGCTTTGATTCCTCTCCTTCCCTCACCCTTAATGTCCAGTCAGCAACCAGTTCTTCCTTTGAATTGATTCTCATCTAATTCTTCCTTTTCCATTCCCACTGCTTATTCCATTGTTCTAAGTGCATACTTGCATTTTTGTAATAGCCTCTAAATTAGCTCTTGCCAGTTGATCCCTGCTTTCTGATTCCTGCTCTCTGATCCGTTGTGTATGCAATTGCCAGATGAATCTTCCCAAAATATTGCCTGTGTTATGTCTCTCCCTTATCCAAAACCCTTTTCTGAATCCCAGTCATAGGATCAAGTCTAAACGACTTAGCCTGGCATTTGAAACTCTACATAGTCTAGTAGGAGCCTACTTTTCCAGCTTTATCTTCTCTTACTCCCATGGAAAAACCTTTTGCTCTATCCAGATGGGAAAGTTCATTGTCACTTAAACATTTCTCTGTGCTTTTGCTCACACACTCACCTTTCTTCCCCATGTAGTTAAATAATCCTCATCCTTTGGAGACCGACTTAATTATATGTTCTCTGAAATCACCTTTGTCACTCTAGGTCGCTAGTGTCATACTCAAATAGAAATGCTCCCTGTGGGCTTCTTACTGACTTAGAAAACCACAAATTTACATATGTGTTGCATTTTCATTTATTATGTTAAACATTTCCCTGTCACATTTTAACTGGTTTGGCCTGACTTGGGATTTTTTGCATCCTCAAGTGTGCCACTCTATTCTAGACCATTCCTAATAACTCAAGACTGTTTTTTATTTATGCTGCTTATTCCTCATGTAGTACTTTCTGCCGTCTCTTCTGTTTGCTTTTTTCAAATTTTACTTGTTAATTGTTTGAACTTGTGTGTCATATCTCCTCCATTAGGCAATGAAGACACATACCCTTTATTTCTTTTTGTTTTCTACAGTGCTTATCACACTAGGTGGCTCATAGGCAGAGCTTATTAGTTGATGTGTTCAAGGAGTGTGCTAGAGACAACCTGAGGTAGTGAGAGTGCACTTTTATTGATTAAGGATACCTATTGGGGAATTTCTGATCAATCCACAAATGTTTATTAAGTGCTTATTATGTTTCAGGCATTGTGCTACCTTTACTTAGAGTTGGAAACAAGTTTGGCACTCTCTGACTGTGTAGGCATAGTTCAGTGCGATTCCTGCTTTAATGGCATACATGTTGTCTTCTAGAGCTATTTCCATAGCGCCTGTATTTAAGTTATTCTCTCTGTGTGTGTGTGTGTGTGTTTTATAAGTTGATTTTTTTTACATCAACATTTCCTAATGTAGTCTACCCCTCTCTCCTTCCTAGAAAACTATAATAAAGAATTTTTTTAAAAGGAGAAAAACAGTTTAGTAAAATTAACCAACATAGCAAAAAAGTCTGAAATTATATGCAGTGTTCCACACCTATAGTACCTAACTTCCATAAATAATCAAGGTCAAGGTGCTTTCTGTTATCTCTTCTTTGGGGCTAAGCTTAGTCATTATAATTTCATAGCATTCAGTTTTATTACTCTTTTATGGTTGTTTCCAATCATTTTGTAATCATTGCATATATTGATTTTATGGCTCTGTGTAGTTATTTTTTACAGGTGGTATTTTTAATACTATTTACGTATCTTATTTCTTTCTCAATCATATGTAATGATAGTTTTCAACATTCTTTTTTTTTTTTTTTGGTGAGGCAGTTGGGGTTAAGTGACTTGCCCAGAGTCACACAGCTAGTGAGTATTATGTGTCTGAGGCTAGATTTGAACTCATAGAGCCAGTGCTGTATCCACTGCACCACCTAGCTGCCCCAGAACATTAATTTTTTACAAGTTTTTTGGTTCCAAATTTTTCTCTCCCTCTCTCCTCTTACTCCCTCCCCAAGACAGCAAGCAGTCTGATATAGGTTATTCAAGTGCAGTCATGTTAAACATATTTCCACATTAGTCATATTGTGAAAGAAGAAACAGAACAAAGGAAAAAACATAGAAAAAAACCCCCAAAGAGAGTAAGAATAGTATGCTTTGATCTTCATTCAGACTCCATCATATCTTTCTTTGGATGTGGATAGTATTTAATGTACAGATGGTGTTTTTATAAAATAATTGTCCCTTCAGTTTCATCCATCTTTACTCTTAGAAGTTTAGAGGTATATTTTCCAAAATGAAATCACTTACGTGTATTTTGTTTTTAAGCTGTAAGTCTTCCTTTCACTCAAGAGGTCCTCAGGTTGGTGTTCATTTTAGTAATAAAGGCATATGAGAGGTTGTAATTAACCTGGGACTACGCTAGCATTTTGGGTTTTTTCCCTTCTGTATCTCTAGTGCTTAGCATGATCATTGCATAGGGAGGATACTTAATAATTTTGGACTGACTTCCCATTCCTTCCTCAGAAGCCTAATTTCCTGTGCTTGTTATTTAAAAGTCTGTTTACCACTTTATTTACAGACCTAAAGGATTACATCATTTATTTACTAGCTTTGTGACAATGGGCAAATTGTAGCTTCTCAGAGACTCAGATTCTATAAAATGGAGATAATCCATTTAGTCCAGAAAGTCTTTACTTCTTGAGGAACTTATGTTGTACAGTGTGGGGAAGAGAGTGCATAGATGACAAGTAGCATGAGTAATGTGAGGAGGGAGAGATTGCTAACCAGAAGGGTATCTGGAAATCTTCATCAGGGGTATATGGCACTTGAGCTGAGCCTTGGAAGAAGATGAGAGATCAAGATGAGCTGTGTGTTCTGGGTGAGAGAGACCTGGCTACTTCCAAACCTGAGCTTCTTGCATAAATGTAGGAAAGTGAAATGTTGAATTCAGCAAACAGCTCATTATCCACTTTGGCTGAAATGTCGATAGAGTTCTTGAAAGGGAATAATATTAAAATAAACTTGGAAAAGGCAGGTTGGAGTCAGATTGTAGAGGACCACATTTCCTGTCTTAAAAGTTTGTGCTGTCTTAGAGATGACAGGAAGGCATTGGCAGTTTTTGAACATGAAAGTGACACAGACATGAGAGTAGCTGTGTGGAGGATAAATGGAGGGCTGGGATAGGAGTAAAGTCCAGGCAAGCTGTGATGAAGGTGTGAGTGAGGGTCATGGCTTTGAGAATAGAGAGAAGAGGATGTGTATGAGAGATGTTTTGGAGGTAGAAGCAACAAAACTCGGCAAATAATCAGTAGGGTAATATTTGTAACACTCACCTCATTAGGCTTTTGTGAAAATCAAATGAGATAAAGTATACAGTTTTATAAAAAAACACTATATAAATATTAGCTGCATTATTGTTTTCCCTCCAGCTCTTATCCAAATGGACGTTTTAAAGGCAGGATATTCTGGGTTTTGTGGAATTGAAGGAATTGTATCACTTGGCAGTCATCTCATTTTCCTGTCTTTGGAACTCAGATATTTTGATAAATTCCTTGGGATTGCCTTTCTAGTACAGTAATGGATGGGTTAATTCCTTCACTATTCATTATACATCCATAAGGAATCTAGATTTAGTTATTAATGATTGCTTAAGTGTGCAGCAAATAATCTATGACCAAAATAGGCATACAGTTTTTATTTTCCTTTATACAATATCTAAGATTAGAAGAATTGCATTTTGTTTTGTTCCCTTGACAACAGATAGATAGTATAGATCCAAGGAAATAGTGATTTGTTTTGGTTTTGTTTTCTGAGCTTATGATTTATGTTACAAACTGTGTTGTCACTTTGACAGCTTCTGTAGGCAGAAAACTTGCTGATGGATAAGATACTGCCCTCTCTCTCCATGCATTTTGTAGTTGAGCTTAAAGCCTTCTAAGCATAGTTAATGTGCTTACACACATGCACACCAAAGACCTACTCAACGCATAATCTTTGTGTTGGTTTTTTTGTTGTTTTTTTTGTTTTGTGTTAAATTTTGTTCTCTTTCTTGTCAAAATGTTACATTGGAACAGCTCCTTTCTTCTTACTTTGCTTTAGAGCACAATATGTTTCATTCAGATTATACATTATGGCAAATTACATCATTAAACAAACTAAAAGTTTTATGGAGTACTTAACTGTGTATAAGGTGCAAGGTATTATTTCTTCCCTGAGACTCAAAGATGTATAAATTGAACATAATTAATTGTCAAATGAGTGGTGCAGGCCATTGCAATAGGAGATGTGAAGAGGGAAGAAATTTCATAGTGTTTTTTTGAGGGTTTTTTTTTTTGGCTAGGCAACGGGGTTAAGTGACTTGCCCAGGGTCACCCAGCTAGTAAGTATTATGTGTTCACCTAGCTGCCCCTGAAATTTCATAGTGTTGAGGGTAAGGAAATCTTCACAGGGAATGTGGGAGTTTGAGGTGGATCTTGAAAAAGTGGTAGAGAGGAGAAGGGAGAGTATTTCAGGGAAATGGGGCTGTGTAAGCAAAAGAACAAAGACTGTTAATCTTGTCACATTCTGAGGACTGTGGATAAACTAGTTTGGTCATAAAAGAATGTTGATAGCAAAGTCAGAAATGATATTAAAAGGATGGGGTTGGATGAGGTTGTATCTTAAATGCCAGGCTAAGGAATTTAGATTTGATCCTTCGAGCAGTAATGACCAGAACTTGAACTTTGTGACTTAATTGCATCATATTCTTATTTGAGTATTTTGTTTTTCAATTGAAGGTATGGATGATAAGAATGCCACAAAACTGAATGAACTTATTCAAGTTGGGTAAGTCAGTATTTTTTTTTCTATTATTAATGAACCTTGCTGATTTGTTAAGTATCCTGATTCTTTTGGAGGAGTTTGACGGATTAATTTTAACACTATGTATCTTTACTCTATGTACTTTTAAATTCTGTTTTCCCAGTGAAAACTGATTTCATAATAGATCTTAGAATATTTGTAGGAAAAAGTCACACTTGTTGGTTTCCCCTACCCCATGTTCCTTAAAAATTTGACTATAATGAAAGTATGAAAGGCAGTTGATATTACTTAAGAGTGTCTGAGCGTGCTGTAGGGCAAGGGTGGGGAACATGTAACCTCAAGGCCAAATGTGGCCTTCTAGGTCCTTGGGTGCAGCCTTTTGACTGAGTCAAAGTTGTCAGAACAAATCCTTTTATTAAAGACTTAAGGACCTAAAAACCCACATGTGGCTTCCAAGCTGCAGGTTGCCTACCCCTGCTGTAGGGCTTGATCAAAGCCTCTTTACATTGTCCTAACTGCTGTTTCAGTGTTGAGTCATTCTGTAATCTCTTACGTCTGCATACACACGTATTCTCCCTTTGCCAGTACATCTCATGATTGCATTAAAAGTTTGTGTTAGGGCAGCTAAGTGGTGCAGTGGATAGAGCACTGGCCCTAGATTCAGGAGGACCTGAGTTCAAATCCAGCCTCAGACACATAACACTTACTAGCTGTGTGACCCTGGGCAAGTCACTTAACCCCATTGCCTAGCCAAAAAAAAAAAAAAGGTTGTATTGATCTCCAGTTTTCCTCTTGGATTTAAAGGCTACAAGTGATGTTAAAGATGCAGAAGAAAAAAGGCCAGCCAACGTAGCACATTGTGGATGCTGACTGAGCCTCCTTTCTTTATAAAGTACTGGCATTTATTTTTTCCTTTTTTCCTCCTTCCCTCTCCCTTTTCCCCTTTCCATTTCCCTTCTCCTTTCCCTTTCCTCTCCCTTTCCTTTCCTCCCTACAAAAACACAATTCATTTTTATCTGAATAAGTAAAGATACAGTGATCAGCTACAGGTAATAATTATCTCTTTCAATGATTTCTAGTAATAGATACATTTGCAGCTGGAACTAACAAGCTATTATGTTATTTGTTTGACTTCATAATTTCTACCTTAAATTATTCCTAATTAATTGACTAAAAGACATAATGGCTGTGTGTACATGAACAGGTGGGTCAGTATTCCCTCAGAAAACATAGTTAAACAAACTTTATAGCTCCATGAATATCATCAGTAAATCAGCTAACTGGTTACCAGTAAATCTAATAGCTAATTATTTGCTAATGTTTCTGCTAATTGTTGGATAAGATAGGAGTATGTCAGAACAACAGGTTCCTAAAACCTACTTTGATTTTACTAACTTCATCAGTGTCATGTTATAAAATCAATGTAAATCCATCAGTGCCTGGCAGATTTATAGTGAGATATTCCAATCTATAGTTCCTCTGAATTCACTTTTTTTTTTAACTTAACATTCTACATTTATTAAACACCTATTTTATGCAACATGCTGTGACCACTGCTTTCTGTCAGGAATGCACAACCCTGATGGGAAGTATCCTGAAAACTGTGAAACAGAAAGCCCCAAGAAAATAAGGCAGGGCTCGGCAAATCCATTGAAGGAAGTAACTATCTCCATTCATGGGATATAAAAGCATCATTGCCTTTGGGTGCCCATGCCTAATACCTCAGGTAGTTCAAAGCATTGACCAACTCAGGAGACCTGTCCCAGAGATACCAGCATAGGCAAACACTGGAAAAATGCCCTAGGGATCTGTATCCCCACTAACATGTATCTCTGCTGCCCCAAGTTCTCACTTTTCTCTCTTCTTTATTTATTTTTAGTTTTTAACATTCACTTCCATAAGATTTTGAGTTCCAAATTTTCTCCCCATCTCGTCCTTCCTCCTATCCCAAGATGGTATGCATTCTGAGTACTCCTTCACCTAATATGCCTCCCTTCTATCTCCCCCTCCCCCTTCTCTTATCCCCCTTTCCCTTCTATTTTCCTGTAGGGCAGGATAGATTTCTATACCCTGTTGCTTGTATTTTCTAGTTGCATGTGAAAACAATTTTTAGCATTTATTTTTAGAACTTTGGGTTCCAAATTTTCTCCCTCCCCATCATCATTGAGAAGGCAAGCAACTCATTATAGGTTATACATGTGTGGTCATGCAGAACTTCCCAGTAGTCATGCTGTGGAATAACTATATTTCCCGTCATTGTATCTTGCCCCCCATTTATTCATGAATTCACTCTTTCTAAATAATTCAGAGGAAACTATTCCATTCATGTCCTTGCTTGATCAGAATCCCCTTCTAGAATGGTACGTGCCTTAAGCTGAGGAATGGATAATATAGTCTTCAGTGTTTGGTACTAGAAAATATTTGTACTAGATAGCTTAAAAGCGAACACCCGGAATAGGAGGCTACTGGGAACTGTTCTGAAAAATAGAAGATCTGCTCTTGTCTTGTAAGTCAGCGCAGCATTCTCTTCTACATGAGCAATTAAGTATATTACAGTAAAATCCCTTTTTTATGTAGCACTTTTTGCACAAAAGGTGGGTTAATGGAGTAGAAGTGTTTTGAAAGATATTTAGAAGTTTTTCATGTGATTGCTTTCCCCACATTTGTTACATTTTAATTTATTAGAAGTTGTGTGTGTTTTATTCTCCCATCATTATTCAAACGTAATAGATTTTTATCACTAATAGAATTTTTAGGTAAATTGTCCACCTTTATTTTTCCAGAAAACTTTCTTTGAAATGACCTTGGTCATGTTCCATTTTGTTGATCCAGATTGGCTTTTGTATTGTTTTTATGTGAAAAAGTTTAGTGTAACAAATGTTTGAATGATGAACTGGTAAAAGAGCCTAAACTTATACCTCTAGGGCAGAGATTCCCAAACTTATTTGGCCTGCTGCCTCCCTTTAAAAAAAGAAAAATTACTCAGTGCTCTCCTGGAAATCTACTTTCTTTAACCCTTTAGTGTTTTTTTTTTAAATTTGTGTCATTTCAAAAATATATAATTTTTTAAAAATGATACATCTTAAATTTAATAATTTATTGTAGATTTGAGGTATTTTCTTGCGTTGAATTTTTTTTTTTTTGGTCAGGCAGTTGGGGTTAAGTGACTTGCCCAGGGTTATACAGCTAGTCAGTGTCAAGCATCTGAGCCAGATTTGACCTCAGGTCCTCCTGACTCCAAGGCTCTATTCACTGAGCCACCTAGCTGCCCCCTGCATTGAAATTTTGATGACACAATATTGCGTCAAGTAACTGTACGGTATTGTATTGTAAATAAGTCATTACACGCACATATTCCTATCAATAAATACATGCTGGACGTTTTGTGTATTTATTTTGAAAATAATGATCATCACTACAACTTTAACTCTGTTACACAACAGATGAAACACGTACAAATGATTTTTCAGAATTCTCTTCTTTACTTATGCTTCCACTGCCCCCTTATTTTTATTCAATACCCCGCAAGTGTACCCAAGGCTGCTCCCTCCTGCCCCCCAAAACATTCTAGCACCCCATAGAGGACAGTATAGCCCACTTTGGGAATCTCTGCCTAAGGCCTAGCTGTAGCACAATACTTTGCAAAAAATAGGAAGCTGAATTGAATATATATAGAGTGCCGTAGACCATCAGCTAGGAAGAGTTTTCCTTGCAGTATCAAACTACTCCAACTTTAGAGGACCCATTTTTCTCTATTAGTTTTATTTAATTTGAAGCGAGACTTGTAAATATTTGTTCTTACTTTATATGGTTATTGAGCCTAAAAAATGGAATGATGTGATCAATATTTCTTGACTTTGCGGGAGGAAATAACATTGCCATAAAAGAAACTTTTACTTTTTATGTAGAAAGTCTTTGGTATCTTTAAGTCTATTTATCTGTTCTGGACTTTTAAATTTTTATTTATGGCACCACTATTTTCCCAGTTGCCATGGCTCAAAAACTCAGCCATCTTTTTAAAAAACTGCCTTTTCATTTTTATAAACTTGACAAATATTAATGAAAATGAACACTACTTCATGAAAAGAATAGAAAAAAGGACTGTATATGAAATGGTAAATCGCCACCATTTCCAACAGTGCCCTGCTTTGTGTGTGTCCCCTTCTAAGCTTTCTCCTGGTCTCTTCTGCTTATTTTTAGTGATCCATTGATTATCTTTTCTTACTTTTTTCTTACTTTACTTATTTTATTTTTATTTACCCACAGTTTCTCATAATCACCTCCCCATCTCCCAATCACCCTGTATTATAACATACATACTTTCATATATGCTGACACAAAGTTAATTCACACATTGGTCGTATCTGAAGATTGATTTTTCATTCTGTATCTTTAATCTACCAAGAGGTTGGAGGCATACTTCCTCATGAGTCTTCTGGAATTATGACTGGTCATTTCATCGAACATAGCTCTTCAGTATTTCATAGTTGTTTTCCTTTACAGTATTGTAATAATTGTATAAATTGTTTCCCGAGTTCTGCTCCTTTCATTCTGCCTCAACTTTATTATTTTTTTTTATTAATTTTTGCTTTTAGCTTGAATTTTTAAAAGCCCCAAATGGAATGGATCTGTATATCTACAGCTTTCTTTTCTTTTAGTTTTTTAAATATATAGTAGGATTGACCTGTGGCTTTTTAAGCTATCCTCCTTGTCTGGCCACTTTGAGCCTTCTTTCTTTAATTTTCTCATTAAAAAAAATTGGCTCTGTGACCTTTAAAAATTTAACATCCTCTTCCTACACCTCTCCTCCAAATTGAAAAGAGAAGCAAAAACAAAGTCCTCGTAAAAAATATGCCTGGCCAAGCAAAAACAAATTCTTCTATTGGCAGTGTCCAAAAATGTATGTTTTACTCAAGATTTGGAGCAAAGCATCTTTTTTTCTGTTCTTTTTTTTTTTTAAAGGCAATTGGGTTTAAGTGACTTGCCCAGGGTCACACAGCTAGTAAGTTATCAAGTGTTTGGTC